CTTGAGTGAGCTGAAGTATACGTCCATAGGACGTTTTTTCCTTAAAATGGGTCTAAGAATTACCTCCTTAAATATTAGCATGTGTTTAAGGAACACCCTGTATGGAACAGGTAATCATTATTATCAAAGTATATAACAAATATTATTAAAGAAAAATAATGTAAACTTCATCACCACTGGATTAGTCTTCGAAATTGGCTTCCACTTCTTCAACTTCCTCGTCATCTCGTGTTTCTGTAAGCAAGAATGCTTATGGTACTTCACAATCTGTCATTTATTTCATGATATTAGATAATTAAAAAGGAAACGTATCTGAATGCGAAGTATCTTCGAAAATGACAGGTGTTATGACGATATCTTCGTATGCTTCAGGAAGTTGGTTTCCAACGAACCAAGTCGGCTCTAATTTTCCTTCCACATTTTTCCATCCGCAGTTTGTTGGTGACATCTCCGTAACAATACGATTGTGTACATTCTGCCATAAGCATGTGGAGCACTGTTGACATTAGCTAGTTTCATCAATCCGTACAAATAGAAGATGAAAGAGTCCATGGTGAGAGATAATTCTTCAATATCATAAGCTTCACATCCCAAGTTTGCAAATGCTGTGTGATAGGTCTCAGATACCATTAAAATCTCTAATGGTCTTTTTTGCCTTATCTGTGAAGAGCTGGGTTGTAATCACATCCCGTGAGCGCATGTAGAGCTGATAGTGCTTGTGTAAGAAGTGGGTCCAATTTAGCAGAAAGAGCGAAAATATCGAGATATGGTAACAGTGGAGTCTTGTATTACTGCTGAGAGCTGTTCAACACACAACTCCCAGCACCAGCCCCATGAAAGAAAACCAGCAGATTTAATGTATTTTGTAATCCTGATATAATTCCCTTCAAAATAAAAAAAAATCGCGTTCGATTATTTCGAGGTGAACTTTTTTTTACGACTTTGTGACTTCCCCATTTCCTTATGTCACGCTAAAATTGTCATATTATTGAAATATACACTTTTCTGGATGTACTTAACTGTTCCTAATCTGATGCGCTCGAGTTTTTTTGAGGATCGATTTTTTTTGCTAATCTGACGGGCTGCCCTCAACGCACCCCACTATATTGAGGGTTCATTGGTAGGGGTACATTACAGGGTGCAAGTGAATCACAATAATCTCTCTTATGAATGTAAGTTTGGAAGATTGAAAGAGATGACTCATTCTGAAGGAATGGAATGGTGCAAAATTTGGAATATCTTTATAATGAATGGCACTTGCCAGAATCGATCCTACACCTTCTCAAGGATACTTTTCAAAGCACTTCATATTTCAAGTTTCTTAAATATTTTGAGTTTTAATAAAGCCCACAGCTCTACGTTTCTAGTTCATACCTTCAAACTTAAGATTGTTGTTGTATTTATTCATCTTTCAGATCATTATGATACTAGACATGTCAATAATAAAAATAACAATAAGTAACTATATAACTATAAATAAATAAACATATACCTATCAAATAAAACAGGCACTATTCAAAACACTACAAGCGACATACATGCAAATTTTAAAATCATAGACAAAATAGTATAAAACAACATAATATAATTATACAATTTAAAAGTTTAACATAAAAATAGGAAGGAAAAGCAGTGAGAACAAATTATATCAAGACATCCCTTTGCAGGAACTCATCTAAGCTATAATAACCCCCCTTCGTCAATAATTCTTTGATATGGTTTTTGAAACTTACTAAGTGTAGGTCCTTGACATCCTGTGATGACATCCTGTCGATATTATTGTATTATTATTGCTCATAAAATATTTTGTATGATGTACAACAAGCAGTTTGATATTTTTGCCAGAATTTCTACAAATTGATATTTTTTAATCATTGTAAATATTCCCAAATTATGATAGACATAGATTTTTATCTTTAGTTATTTTATGTTACATGTTATTCGAGTAAATAATAACAACTCTATTCACAGTGAAAATATATAAATAATACAAATACATGAAGTGAACAAAGATATTTAGATAGATAGTTTCCCATAAAATTGACAAATAAATAGAAGAAGAGTCCTGCAACAGTGGCGCGGTGTTCCATATCTCAATTTAGGAAACAGATGGGAATCTGGTAGCAAAAGCCATTATCATAGAGAAAGAGATAGGAATCTAAATTTCTATAATATTACCTCATTGCTCTAGCCTCACAAAATAAAAATATTGGCGGTCACACAGGGTGTTCAATTTTTTCTGGGCGGATCCCAACTGTGTTTTTTTAAATAGCAACCTATATTTTTTATCACTTTTTCGGTTTCTACATAGAAAATAAAAGACACTTTATGTATATCTTCACTTCGAAAATTTTTACGATTTTCGAGATATCTAGCATGACAAGCTTTTTTTTTTCAAATATTCGTAACTCAGAATATTTGAAATTATAAAGTTGTGCCAAGTCCAATTGTACCTAAAGTACCTGAAATACCTGAGTTAAGACGCTCTGACCGTATAAAGAGACAGACAACAGGATGACCAGTTCAGTTNGAATTGGATTTACAAAATAAAGTAATTTAATTTATTTCTTAAAAGCCAATTCATCATAAATAATGATAAATTGGCAACATAGTTGAATATTCTCTATTATTACTGCGAAAGTTGTTCAATTAGCAATATACAAATTGAATGGAGTAAGATGCCCTTCACACTATAATTTTATATTTCACAGTGAGCCCACGTACTACACTAGGACGTGAGAGTAAGTATTTTTATTAGTGTATATCGCTGAGAGGTCATTTTTCTCAGTGAACCAGGTTGTTTATCACTCAAAATCTTCGGTTTGGAGTTGGGACACCGAACATCAAAGGATCCGACGTTAATGTCGCTTCTCTGTGGTAGGTATTCTCGGACCACGTGATAAAACAGCCACTTTTAATGAGTTGTAGTTCACTTACCTTTTTACAGACCAGAACATCCAAGTGGTACAGAGGCATATACCTAGACAACACCGACTCAATCTTGTTTAGATCTTTGAAATCGTGTGGAATAGCTAATTGAACTTTGCATATTCGATGTTTTTGGTGGAATCGAATCCAAGTTTCATCTGTAGTGGGTATATAATTGTCATTTATACTGTGAATATAAATCACAATTTGTCTTAATTCTGAGGCTGAATCCAGCAAATCCAACAGTTCATCGGAGATATGATGTAAGTCAAGGCTCAGTACCTGAAAATCATCACAATATTATTTCAATTACTCATCAAGTTTCAAACAATCAAATTGTAGTTTTTCAATCACTAAATGAAATCGTTTTTCCAAAACTCACCACACCATTAACAAAGATGATTTCAGATATAGAATGGGTGAATAAATGGAGGTGAAGTCAATCTAATATCTTAATTTGTAGATTGTTCATTGTAAAGTGATACACTTCAAACGGGGTCGGGTAAAAAGATAACTAGCTGAGAAACTTCAACACAGAAAAAAACTGTAGTGGACCCATTACAGATCTTTGTGACACACCCCATAAAATATATCCACTATGAAAACTGTTTCTGTTCAATCTCACTATAATCACTTGTAACGCAGACCTTTGAAGCCAAAGTGCATGAAGTTACTAATGTCATTCACGTAAATTATGAATAGAAGTGGTCCCAATACTGATCCTTGGGGAACACCATGTTTAACAAGTTTTAAATTCGAAATGCAATTATTGCTACTGACTGCTTGATATCCATTCGATACATATGATTTTGTGATTTTTATGATACAAAGAAGGATGTCAAAGACTTATTGCTAACTCAATTCCAATGAATGCCTATACTCATCTCATAAAGCTTAAATCTGAAAAACTATCAGGTATATAATGAGTATATTAAAAATATCTCTGTGGAAATGGATCGTACCTAGTTGCTATTACTGAGATGAAAGGTTGAAAACGATACTGAACTTTCTGAAAACATCCAGTATGTATATGTATTCATGTAGACTATCATATAAGACATTTCGATGGAATATGACATGTCAACGGAAAAAGATTGTTTTCCGAAACGTAGATCACCGAAGGCTAAATATAAAAACTTAATTTATTTCAATTGATTTTTTCAATTTGACTAATTTAACTTTGCAGTGGTTTATATTACATAGTAACTTTTTGGGGCTTACTTTTCAGTTTGCCCTTTATTACACTACAGCAGATCCTCCATTTATTTAGCTGCGTTTATTTTTCAGATTAAGGCAGGTTTTATACCCAAAAATCAGTAATTTTTTTAAAATCCATCAGTTATTATGATTTGATGATATTCATATTGGAATAATGTATAAACAAGAAATTTAAAAAAATGGCACAAAAATCATAATAATCTCAATGTCGATGCCTCAATTGATTCATTTGTCAACATTGTCAAAACTTTCTTCGTTTCAGAAAATACTTTTGAATGAATTGGTGAAGCAGAAGATGATTCCAATCAATATCCTGATACTTATGAAGAAGTAAAAAAACCAAAAAAAAAATTCTGATCATTATCCCCTACACAAAAAACTTGTTTCCATGGATATAGTCATTACAGACTATTTTTTATTATGATATTTTACGTTAGCCTTATTTATGAATTAACCTTCCTCTTGTCTGTCAATTGTTGAAAATCGTGCGAAAATTAATTCGGTAGTTTATGACTTCATGTTTTTAACATGCAAATTAATAGAAAAAAACTGATAATTTACATTTCTTACCTTTTTTATTTCTATCCATTTGAGCACAGGTTGTGTTTTGTTTTTTTTAGCCTCGTATTTATATTTTATTTCCTTTTTTTCACAGCGTTTATTTACATTTAACAATTTCACAACATCAATGACACACACATACCAAAGACTTCCTTCCTACATCAGATTTGATATTCTTTTCTCGAAAAGGGATACCACAAGGCAGCACGTTCGATTTTTAGATCTCAAAAGATACTTTCTACAGCCTAGCTCAACGTTGCCAATTCTAAAAATTTCAAGTATAGTCGAATATTTCTGAAATTGTTCGGAAATTGTGAATCGATATTGAAATAAGAATTCCATAACTGACTTATAACTTATGTATACGAACAATATAACATTTGCAAAAAAAATAATTGAGTTCAGTGTTCACTTTTTTGTGGTTTCTAGAATAATTTTCTCACACAAAAGCCTACTGATAGCCCACTGCTATCTAGAATATCTAGAAACTCAGTTAATCCGATTGATAATCGACATTTTCAACTTTTGGTTGTAAAACAAATCTCTGTTGCCTTTCAGTTTCTTCCTTTTTGTAGTTATTTGAAAAAATTGATTGTTACTCTAGACTAGACGAGCACTTAAGGTACAACCATGCTTGTGCAAATTTTGACTGCCACTAAGACGCAGTTGAGTTGAAATATTTGGACTTTATTGCAAATCGGATAAATCATTGAATCATAAAAAAATACATTGTTACGTTTATTCAGTAGATTCGACAATAATTGACCACTTTTTACAATCGAACTCAACTTCATTCTATACATAGAAACTCTAACTGAACTTCAGACTCATGAAAGATAGATATTTATTGTTTGAAGAAACATAATTTAATGACAATGAGTTTATTCAAGACCTTGAAGTAAAACAAATACATTCAAACTTATAATACAAGAAACAAAAAATCCCTCTCATACTGACTTCAAACAATATTTCAAGAACATATTAGGTTAGGTAAGGTCCAAAGTGAGTGGGTCTATTCGACCCTCCACCGCAACCCGCAAGGGTTTATTGTGGCTCACACCCATTCACACTAGACTAAATAAACCCAGCTTCTCAACGAAGCCGATTAGTTTGTATGGTGAGTGGTCTTTCAGGTTAGATGGAAAGAGTACGGCTCTGCCGAACTCTAAAAATTTGATTCGGTCCCCAACGGGGCAGGCACAAAGTATATGCTCAGCTGATTCATCGTTAATGAGGTAGTCGGATAGTCAAGGTGCGAAATTCCCACCTTGATATCCTCGACAACCTTCCCATATGAGGGTTTTTGCACGTCAGCTACACCTGACGATGCCTTAGATTCAGCCTTGCAGAGTTTTTTGGCTCTGGTTTTGGTGAATCATCACTTGAGCGCAAACGTTTGCTAACCTGCTTATGGGGGGTTTGTTCCTCCATCTGAGACATACTCTGCGTACGCCGCTCAGGAATTTGGTGCAAGGCGGTTTTATAAGGTACCCCGCTGTTGAGGAGACGACTCAGTCGTTTCCTGGCTGCACCACTAAACCTTTTTTTAGGTTCAGTTATTGGATCAGGAGTTGGGGAGTTGAGAAGATCTTGCTCCTGAACAAAGTTTACAGGAAGGTCAATTGGAGTCGTAAACTCGACATCCATCTCCTCTTTAGACTCGCTCCTGAACTAAATTCACAGGGAAGTCAATTGGAGTCGTAAACTCGACATCCATCTCTTCTGTAGACTCGCTCCTGAACAGGGAGGTCAGTTGGAGTCGTAAACTCGACATCCATCTCCTCTGTAGACTCGCTCCTGGTTTAAATTTACAGGGAGGTCAGTTGGAGTCGTAAACTCGACATCCATCTCCTCTGTGGACTCGCTCCTGAAGTAAATTCAGAAGGAGGTCAGTTGGAGTCATAAACTCGACATCCATCTCCTCTGTAGACTCGCTCCTGAACTAAATTTACAGGGAGGCCCGTTGGAGTCGTAAACTCGACATCCATCTCCTCTG